GGATAATTGGACCACATATTTCAGGAAGTAAGCCAGTTCTCTATAGATCCAATCTAAGGTTAACTGATATCAATTTTGTTGACATTTATCCAACATCAGGTTGAACCTATTGCTACTAGATCAAGCAAGTTATGAGTTTGCTGACTATTAAGAATCTGTGGTTTTCAGAGGATAGCTCTAAGAAGTGGTTATTACTGTTGGCTTAGGAATAAATATGTCATCTAAATAAATTTCTAGTATAATTGTTTTTATCATACCGTCGTTGATTGGACCGAATTGGTCGGTCTCTATTGGCATATGGGCTCTTGTGCGGATGCCTCGATATTGCCTGCGTTCTAATTATATTAATGATGGATCGTGGCTAGCAGTGGAATCCAGGATGCTCATTTCAATTCGGTCCAAGCAACGACGGTATCATATAAAAACAACTATACTAAAACTATACCCGTCGCACAAGAAGTGACTATCGTGGCTCGATGGTGTAGTGGATAAGGTTCTGGCGTTTGAAGCAATCGCTCCTGAGTCCTGGTGGGAACAACATCACTCACTGGGAAGCAGGTACATCCAGCTGACCAGTGAGTTGTAAATAGGACGAAATGCATATCCTGGATTCCACTACTAGCCAAGAACCATCATTAATAAATGAGTTTCTTCCTAACATAGACTCTACATGTGAACCTAAGGAAAGCACTGGAAATAAACCTATATGTTTAGCTTCTTATGAAGGTTAAACAGCTCCCGCTGGTTTCGGTTGTGAACTGTTTCACCAGAAGACAAAGATGACCATCTTTTCACATCCATTCAAAGGTCAACCTAGATAAAAATTACTTACAGTTGTGATTAGCTAATGAATGAAAATCATACGTAAATAGCTACATGAAATAATACAATCGCTTAATGCTATTACGACTTCTCATTCCTGTCGTATTGCTTGTCACTGGAACTCTTAACCAAGATGTCCAGAAAACTGTATGCTGATATAGTTAATTTATTAGAACTCTTGAATTATTCTTGGTAAACATCGCAAAATCTGTACGTAACTGATATCAACTAACGAAATACAACTACATAGACCCAGTGGATATCACAGGTCAGTGTTTAAGAGTTGCTAGAAACTCTAACATCATTGAAAACGTGTCTCTCTGGAAATTCAAGTTACTAGCTGCGTCTATGGTTTGTATTTATTAACAAAACAGTTAGTATTTTAAACATTTAATAGCTATACTGAAAATTCACTCTCAAAAATCTTCTTTACAGTAACTAGGATTGTAGATAATTAGAGTCACTCTAAGGCAGCCCCAGTAACTACTGGAAAAAAAATTAATCTTTTTTTAATCTTGTAGAAGAAGCTAATTTTTTTGAGTAGACATCTACACCTAAATGGATATATCAGATTAGTCTAGTTAACAATCTTCCGATTCCTGTTGACTTTTTCCGTTTATTTTGTGCGGTGACCATAAAAAATAAATGCCGGTGATCTGTTGTGAAACAAAAGAAATGGAACCAGGAAATTACTGAAGGCTTCGAAATTAGGATGATTTACTAAATATACTACAATACGTAACGTGAAGTCTTGACAATCCCGAATCTGCAAAAATATACGCAGGGTGTTGTAAAGGCATATACACGTAGAAAGATTGATGTACACTAGGCTATCTATCAAAGCATTCGGTCGATAACTACTATCTTGATGTGGTTGTCGCCCCTCTACAAAATACACTAGCTGAAACGCTTGTTCTCTCCAGGCTGTACCCTGCCGGGTAGGTTTTTCGCATAGAGGTAAGGAGAAAAGCAGTTACTGGTATATTGTGAATAGCTACCTCATGATGATAAGATTCAACTGAGTTGTACTGCTGGCTGAACGGAGAGTAACAGCTGTAAGGTAATTCCAGTGGATGACCACCAGTACCAAATTGATGGTGCCATATCAGTTGGAAGGAGGGGAATTAGGAAAGGCTGGTTCAAAAACAGTATATCTCTCTGCCTTTCGGTTTCCCAGTGCAAGGAGTATAGGCTCTCTTTATTCGGTGTTAGAACAGCCAAGCCTCAAAACACCGTATTACGGGCATGAAGAAAACGTCCCATGACTTCTGCGGCCAAGTAAATCGTTTTTCTATCAGCTTAGGTCAGCTCTAGTAACAGCGTGTAGACAATTACTTACCTACACCCTAAGGTAATAAACGTCGATGAATTTCCTCAATCTCATTCAAACTGATTGATGCGAGAAGACTGATTCCAGCTGCCTCTGACAACAATGAGAAGCGAACAAAGCTCGAGTGTAGACTGACCAAGATTCTCCGCAGTGATCATAAGCACTGGTGGATGGCGAAAGCGACAGAGAAGGCATCAGCATCAGGTAATACCCTGCAATTACTTTACAATATTAAAGATACCGGAGAGACGAAGGTTAGAATGATAATCACCGAGAAGGATTAGGCCATGATAACTTATCAGGACCGACAGCTAGAACGAAAGTTAGACTGGACAGTTGGAAGGACAGTTCAACTGGCCTACAGTCACACTTCAGTTGCCCATCATCAAGTCCGAACGTGAAAACGACGTAGATATCGTTCCTACAACTGTTCTCATAATTAAGGCTACTTCTAACCTGAGATGATGCAAAGCAGCAGAACCTGACGGTTTGCCACCAGAAGTTTCTAAGAGCTGAAGTAGCAAATTATTGAGTAGGGAAATAGAAGTACTAGGTAGTCAAGAGAGAGGTTTTCCTGTGATAACCTTAGGGGGATCAGTTTGACTAACTTACTTTGCGCCTGTGACACTGTGGTCCATTGTTATCTGACGCCTGGTTGGAGCTCGATATTAGTGATCCAGGAGGAAAGCAGACGAGATATCCGACTAGCTGTTAAAGGACGGGTTTACTGCACTCCTTTGCTATACGGCTGTAAGACATGGCCGTTAAAAGTGAAGGATAAGAAAAGACTACAGGTTGTTGACCACAGGCGTCTTCATAGCACCGGTTACATTTGGAGGAATCGCCATGTTAGCAATGTCGAGGTCTGACGAAGGGTACCAGGGAAGGGAGAAAGTTGGTCGATGAGATTGTGAAGCTTCACGAAACTGAGGTGGCTTCGACATGTTCTGCACATGCTAAGGCACCACCCACCTCGATGTGCAGTGCTAGAAGTTGGATACAGTTGTAAGAGGGTTGAGGATGACCAGGTTAAGATATGGCACCAATACATGGTGTTTGACTGTTGGTCTGAGTTTTGTAGAGAGGTGTAGGTTACCTAACTTATATCTCGATATGATAGGAATCGGTGATTGATAATTGATGAAGTGCCTAAATTTCAGTTACACTGATGCGGATGTATTCACTCTTTGACGTCTTCTTTCTCATGCCATACAGCTATGTCCACTTGTTCTACTCATGTTACTGGGAAGTATGACATCATGAACCAAGTCACTTCTATGAAACGATTTGTACTGATTGATTTTATACATCTGTATTCGTTATGAAGCATAGAAAAGTCTTGGTTGTATTGTGTTCTCTCACTTCAGTATGAAGTTAGTGCTGATGATGTCGTCCAGAAAGACGATTAAACAACCCAGCTCAGAAAATACAATAGAACCAAGACCATCCACCTGAGCTGTAAATATTCTCTACTATTTCAATATTATACGAGCGTAGCACGCTTCATGTTGTTCGAAGATGGGAGGAGTTCTCCGAAAAGGTAAGCTTCCACAAAAGAATAACTATTCTTTCTCCATGAGCGACTATATAGGAAAGTATTTATCAATATGAAATACATAGTAGTATGTGAAATAAACTTATTGCACGAACTTTGCAAGTATACGGTTCTTCTGTACATGGATTAAATAGATGAAAGCAAGTTTTTATCAACCTCTAAATAGCGTACATAGATAACTGTGTTTCACTGTTCCAATACTTCATCAATCCTATGAACATAAATTTACAGTTATATTGATCTAAATTAATTAGAGAGTGGCATATGAAATTTAACCTAACACTATTCAAACTTCTCTAATCTAAAAACAAATTAATTATGCAGACAAATAAACACATTTATTTCTCTGTTCAAAAATTAAACAGAAGACGATAAGAAAGGAGAAAAAAAGAAAAGAATAATCGATGGTGCCAATATCTTACAACTTTTTTTTTCTTCATATTATTTATGATTACTTTCATCCTTTTTTTATTTGTATCAACTGGCAGTCATGATGATATATATATATGTGATTACATATAGAGTGTTTTATATAGAGGGCAACACAATAAAAATTATATAGTATGTACGGTGTATGAGTGTATATTGCATTTTTTTTTATAGAAAAAAACACCAGTTAGGCTAAATTAAGTAGTGAAGAGAATTCACACAAAAAAACTATTGAAACAACATAAGAAAAATATGTAAGTACATGAAACAAACGCATATGTATATACTTTCTTTCTCACACTAAAGAATACATACATACATACACACACACACATACACATGGACAAAGGAGAGATCAAGATATACTCATTTCAACACAATAATCTTACAAAATTATCCTCATTACAAAAAAAAGAAAGTTGAATTAAGCACAAATAATTGCCTAAATTACAATATTACTTATAATGTATGACTAGTTCTTAGATAACTCATCAACCGTTCAATACCAAAAATCATGATAAAACCTTCAAGACACAAAATCATGATAATATTTAAGGCTTTCCACTTTAATGTTTATAACATAACAGTGACAGTATATAGCTTTACTACTACCTTCTACACATGCATTATATTAGTAGGAGACTTGTCTACTACATATATATATGAGCATGGAATAAGCAATTTCTTTTCCTTCTTCATTTTGAGAAGCGATGAAAGACGAACCAATTATAGAATGGATAAAAACAAAAAATGCTGTGTAAATACGTGAAAGAGATTAACTTTCCCGCTTTTTTTTGGTATAACGTAAAATTTGCATTCGGCGCTGCTTATATATATATATATATATATATATATATATATATATATATAAAGAAATAGGAATGGTAAACAGATCCAACCACACATAAAAGAATCATTCAATAATTCGAACAATAAGATTATAAATAAATAAGCACAAAGATAACAAATTATAAAAGCTGATATGATGATCAATGTCCAATAATTTCTTAATTAACATGATAACAAACACCTTTTAGACAACAAGAAAGAAAAAAAAGGAGAAGAAGAAGAATGAAAGCGAAAATGAGGATAGTAACACCATGCCTATCAATTTATGAATAGAATATCTTAAGTAGTTCAATTATAATAATTTATATTGTCTAAGTAAATCCTACCGACCTGTCTGTCTGTCTATCTATCTATCCAACAGTGATAATGACTATGGAAAAGATTGAAGAGACATTGGAAATATAATTCAATGCTTAGTAATGTTTACAGTATTACTCACTTATTATTATTATTATTTATGAACATTAATATGATGATGATTGTCATTTTTTATAAGACGAATGAGTATACAATTTTCATTTTGTTGAATAGATGTTTTTACAATTGTGAATAAGTAGATGAGCATTTTTTTTTCTTCAAAAAAAAAATTTATTTATTTGTACATTATTGGATGTGATGAATATTATATAAGGAATATGACTGATTTATCATAGAAACCTGAGTCAAACTACTTACTTTACAACATACTTAATCATTTCATTTTTATTGAAATCTAAACTGAATAATATTTATTTATTTATTTTCTTTCCAATATGCATCAAACAGTAGAAAGAGATGAAATATAACAGTTATATCTAAGTACTAGCATCTTGAACCTCCCTGGATTCTGATTCTTTATTAAAAATCTCTTTAGATTGTTGAGGTATATCAATCTTGTTAGTATTACTATTATTATTATTGTCTGAAGTTAATTGTAAATTATTTGAACTACCAGATGGAGCAATTATACCTGATCTAATTTGTGAATCTGTTAATTTACTTCCTCCTTCTGATGTAGAAGCATTATGATCTTGGTCTACAATATCACCACCACCACCGCCACCGCCACCACTACTACTATGACCAGTGAAACCAGTAACTATTACACCATCTGATAATTCTTTGCAACTTTGTTGTTCGACTAATGAAATATTTGAAACAGGTGGTATAGATGACTCAGATCCTCCAGGTAATCGAGATGGTGAAAGGAATTTGTACATATCATCTCGCATTGTCATTTCTAAAGAACAAGAAGAAGAAAGAAAGAAAGAAAAAAAAAGAGGTAGGAATATTTTCGTAACAAAACATCTTTATGGCTTCAATTCACACCATAGCTAATAAAAATCATTTGAACAGAAGAAGTTGTTTATACAGTCTTGTTTTATTTCACTCTGATTATTTATACAATGAAGCATTCAAAGAATAAACAAAGATGACGCTTCTCTCTCTATATCAATTTTCAAATGTTCTTTCTTCACCTTTGTCCACTTATCGAAGTAGTGTCAACGACTGACTATCTGAGATAACTACTTATCTTTCTTACTTATTATCTTCCTAATTACATAACTTGTCAATTATGTAAAAAGCTGCTGTAACTTTCACAACTCCATAATGTATAATTAATTAATCTACTTCCGATTGAATTTTGAGGGAGTTGTAGGGAGTTGGAAATATTTCAACTTGTTATTCATTGTAGACTGACATCAGTTGGAGGAACAAACGAGCTAACACAACTTGAAAATATGGACCATTGGATTCTGACTAAGTGACTTAATGGTAACGTGTTGGCCACAGAACCTGAACGTCGCGGGTTCGACCCCTGGCGAGATCTTTGGTGCGCACTGCTGAGGAGTTGCATACTACGAAGAAACAGCTGTCCAGTGCTCTTAGGTTTCTTTTGTTCCTCCAAATGATGTCAGTCTACGATGAATAACAACTTTTAATCTACTTTCTTAAATCTTATTTCATTTCTCATGATCAATCATTACTCGTTTTAAGGTCATTTTCGAAAATAGTATTATGATTATTTTGTCTAATATGCTTAAATTTTTGTTGATATTTTATGTATTTAACCGTACTCATTATACACAACACGATGAATATCACCGAATACCTAGTGGTTGCTAGTTGAAATCCCACCGCAGTTCAAATTCTCATTTCATTTTCAATTATTACTCAATATAAAATACTGCAAGTTTGCCAAACCACGGCTATCTTACTCAGGATAGTCAAAATGATAATCTTTCTAATTCACTTATATTTGGATTGAGATGAGAAATCCTGACTGGACAGCCAATGTGAGTATGATTAAGAGATAGTAACGTGTCACGATGAATTCACATGGTAGCCTGGCAAAAACCTGTCTTAGTGGTTGAAGTGAAATAAAAATCTGGTTAACAATCAGGTCTGGAAGCTCAATTGGTAAGATATCGGACCGGGAACTCACTTGGTCGCGGTCCAAATTTTCATTTTACCTTCAATCATCACTTAGTATGAATACTAGTCTGCTAAACCACACCAATCTCAGATAGATGATATACAAGAATAGATCAATAATAAGTCTACATATATATAACGGACAGTAATCTTTCTCTCTCTCTTCCTTTCTCCCTCTTTAATACATACACACCTATTGATATAAAATAATGAAATTAATGAACAAAAGAAAATGAAAACTAAAAGAGCTTAGACTTTTAAACAGAAAACTAACAACACCTTTAAAAGTTGATAACAGAGATTTCAACTTCTAAGGTCAAGGTACTAATGTTGATAAAAGTTTCAAGATTAGGGATAAAACGAGTGCATATTTGAATGTATTCGCAATGACGATCAGATAACTGATTGACTGACTGACTAACAAAATCAACGTAGAACCTTGCACATAGATGCATCACCTCCAGTTGCCACACTTTACCACAGAAGTACACAAATAACAGGTGAATAGAAAAACGGGGGAATCAAAGTAGATAAAATTATGTCAGAGAATAAACAACCTGAACATAAAGGTAATTGTAAATATTCAGGCTTTAAAAGATATCAAGGAGTGAATACATTTGCACCATTGTGACCAATTTTCAGTCATGTATCAAGCAGAATCATCAATCACTGATTCCTTTCATCTCGATGACCCCAACCAAGTAGTCTCCGTCTCTTCACACGATTCACGGCAACACAGTAGCAAACTTAATCGACTAGTGTGTATTTGACGATGAGATAGTAAAGTATGTGGCTGTTTTAACGTATTCCTTGAAGATTATCGATCATATTTACAATGGAATCAATGAGTTAAGGGACACAAGATACTCTAGTGCCTGCCTTTCTGATGGATATCAATAAGTAAAAGACCAAAGTCCAGTACTGCTTACCAATCAACTCCAAATATTCAGAAATCCTAAGATATTCAGCTATCGAACCAATAAAACTAATATTCATAAATTATATTGTGAAAACAAATTTTAAAGTTAAGGATATGGTTTTACACATTAGTGTATTATATTTACTCGCCTAGCATACTCTCTCCTTGTAATTTGATTGAATACTAAACCACAATGAGATGGAGAACAAGAAATCAATATAATCTCAGTCCTCGTAGTAGCCTGTCATTCAGAACATTGGGTGAAGATTTAACTAGACTCAAAAATATGTAAAATCTTGCATTTTTACATTCCCATCAATATATTTATGCCTGAATATGTATCTAATGTTTGCCTTTACCATCATCTGAGGGAACTTGACCGCTGATAGAGGAGTTGTGAGAGCGGTTGATACTTCCCGGTTCCCCATACCGTGGAATGCTACGTCTTCTTGAAGTACTTGAAAAAGAAGGGTTAGTACATGATCGCAGAGTCCAGGGGATATCTGCTAAAGGTTGATCATGCACTGCCTTTTTGATGCCACGAAAATTGGTCTGTGGTTTTGGTTCATCACTGACCCCTGATGACCGATCTAAGCCATTAATAATGCATCATTTTATTGTTTAAGAACATGTTAAGAGTAACGGTAACCGCTTTTTGTTTAATCACTATCCAACAGACCTTTCTGGTATGGTAGGACATCGAGGGAACAATCGTTCCAACAGCATAGCTCATTGCGTCATCGTGATACACAAGCCCGACCACCAAGTCAAGGTAGCGGCTATCGGTCAGACACGGGGACCATATACATTTTCCACTCACCACTTATATGGCTTAGGTATCTTACGTTTCATTAATTAGTCAAGAAACTAGCTCATATAGTAAAAGGAATTAGAACAAAAATATTGAGGGTTAAAAGGTGAGTTTGGAAGTGATTTCAGTAATAACGGAATAGCATTTTGTTCACGAAGAAATAAATTGAAGAAATTGTGAAGCCAATAGTAATAGGAAAAGGAGGTAAAGAAGATAGGTATTGAGTAGGTTGAGTAGAGTATTGAGTAGTAGATAATTACTATGGTCTTGCATCCCTTTGGAAGTTTGCTGATTGGTAGATAATGTGTAAGCCATCATATGTACCTAAAAGACAACAGAACCCTAACGACATTCACTTGACATTAGCTACGTGCACACTCTGGAAGTGTCTGCATCTAAATGGCTACACCATCCAGAATAACAGAAAGCCATAAAGTAAGGCATGGTTGGTAGTTTGTGTTGAGCTTCTGTAATCTCTCCTTTCTCAAGGGGAGCATATCATTGCAATCAATGGAGAAGAGAGGTTCTGTGTTGGTATCATGTTCCTGACTAGTTAACTATCCCACGGAAGAAAAGGGAACACATGCAGCTACCATTGTGTATATTCGTGCAGTAGGCAATGAATCAAACCTATTGTGTGAGAGTTAGTAATACTACCTAAACCTCAGGAGGTGAAGGAGGCCTCGAACCCATGACACAATGGTTGGTAGTCATCTCTTTAAACCACTGAGCCACAGCTCCAGTTAACTGTCTGACTTCGAATTATTTACAACATGGTAGCAATAACTTTTGCTTTTACCGCTCTCTTCAGCTAATATTTTTTTTTGAAATGATGTTCACGACATGTTCTTTATAAGCAGAAGTACAGAAGTGAATCTAATGGTTCTTTCATTAAACTATAGAGCAATAATGGAGAAATTGATCTCATTTGACAGGGTCGAATGAACAGTCTCTGTTAAATATGTTGTCAATACCTTTTCTATCATATGCGGAAAAGAAATCATAAGTGGGGTAAGAACAATCATTAGGTGTTACATCACTTGAAACTGTACAATGAAATATGAAGAATACAATCTCAAATAACTAGAAATATCATTTTGACCATCTGAGATAGGTGTAGTTTAGCAGATTAGTATTGATATTGCGTGATGACCTTGTAGCTCAGTTAGTACAGCGTCGGATCAAATACCAACTGGTCGCTGGTTCGAATCTGGACGCGGTCCAAAGTTTCATTTCACTTTCAATCATCACCCAGTAATCAATAACTAGAAATACTTGATTAGATTTCATTTGACAGTTACTTTACAATGCTTGAATTGATTATTTCATGGGGTTAACAATACTGTTCTTCTGAGTAATGTGTAGTATTTATATGTTTATAAAAATGAAAAACAATGGACTAAACTTAAAAGAAGTCTATCTGAAAGTCTTTTTTCGGTCCAAACAACCAGTTAGAAGTTATCGATGCAAGACTTTATGTTTTTACATTGTATATATTGATTATTTCAGAAAACTGAGAATAAAATAAGTGTAAACAAACTTGGTAATTTGCGTCAGGCCCTCGAGTGGAATCCCCATGGGAAGCAACGAGTTGGACGTCCGAGGGTGACATGGAGGAGATCGTGAGAGGAAGAAATGCGAGCTTCTGGGCTGTCGTGGAACCAGGTTCAAAAGATCTCAGAGAACAGAGGTCACTGGAGACGTGCTACTGAAGCCCTATGTTCTATTAGGAACCCAAGGGACTAATAATAATAATAATAATAATAAACAAAGTAAAATATCTTACGTTATTTAAAACACTTACCATAGGGTGTTAAATTAAACAATGGAGGTAAAGGTCTATCATTAGGTAGTGTAGTTTCTTCTTGTCTTAACTCATTGAAAAAACAATGTAAACAAGCATCTAATGGTTCTAAACGCTTTGAAGGTGTATAATCCAGTAATTGTGATACTAATTGAATTGCTTCTGATGGAACACGAGGACGAAAAACCTGAAAAAAAAAATAGTTTACAGAAAGTAAAATGAAAGCACCAACACTTTAATGTGTAATAAAATACTCTGGGGGAAAAAAAACCAAAGTAGTGGTTAATTGAATTTTTTTTTTTAGCAAAAAAGTGTTAACGTTAAATTAATGGAATAAGTAATGACACAGATTTGATGCTCAAATATAATAATATAATATAATAATAATATTGCTGATAAACTTGAGAAATTTATCTATCCTATTTATCCCAAAACTGTATGCTCAACCACACCATTTTCTATACAGTGAATATAAAAACATATAAAAGTTGTTTTATAGGTTAGTTATAATGTAAATACAAGTAAAACTGTTCATTACTAAGAGATGATGTAGTGGATAACCAGAAGACAGTAATGTTATGAGCACAGTTAATATTGTTGCCAGTTATACAGTCAGTTACACAATATTCATAAGAATCCTTTAAATATTGTTGAAAGTAATAAAAATTTTTAGTTTGCATTAAAATAACCTAAATCGAGTAAATAGTGATAACTAGTAACACATTTCTAGAAGGTGGTTTGTTTAAGTCTTGAGCTACCAAAAAATTTTCCATCAGTTATATTTCATCAAATTCTTCACTTCCACTTTCTTTTAATCTTTCAAATGTATTCTAACTACATCATATACTCTTCCACCTTTTTGAAATGTTTTCAAACTTTCCTTTTTCAAGCTAAGAATTAAAACAAAGGAAAACGCATTCCATCGGTTGGAAATGGATTTTTAAATGCTTAAAAATACACCACTTTCCTATTCCTAGGAATACACCTATATGGGATTATGAATTTCTCTATGCTGACTGACTGATCTACCACAATCAAAATTACACTCGATTTTGTGTTCATTTCCCAATCGACAATAGATGACAACACATATGTAACACACACTAGCTGCCCGTTTCACAATTATCCCATCATTACTGTTATTATTAACATCATACAGACGTGATAAGTATTTCTTGTACGGGAAGCGAATTAGTTGGAATATTCCATGCTGAAAATTCCACACTGTATCATGCATGCTGTTTGAAATAAAGCGATTATTATTATTCAGTAAAGATGTAGGCGCGTTCTGGATCCCACTTCTGGTCACCAAATAGACTAAAATATAATGAACACTCGGGCAGTATCGAAGCGTCAGCATAGGATCCCATTCGTCAAAAGAGATCGAGGGATTCGGTCCAGTATAACAACAGAGAATTAGAAGTATATCAACAAACAGCACAAGAGGTGGTTTTGATGCCTCAGTGACATAGTGGATAACGCATTGGTATTCGAAGAGATGAGTATTGGCTTCGAGTTTCAGTTGGAATTTCACCCATTGGGGTGCAGTCTAAGTACATCGAACTGACGAGTTCCAAATAGAACGAAACGCACGTACTGAATTTGACTGCTAGTCACCAAATATACAGACTACAAAGACCTACTTTAATATTGATTCAGGAGGAATCAGTATTCATATATATGAAAAAAATCGATCAAACAGTCAATGCGTAAGCTCCTTTAGACTGAAGATCCGTCATGGAGTGAGATTTTCAATCATTTGGATATCACAACTACTAACCATCCAACTTCAAAAGACTTGAGTTTTAAGTGGAACAGGAAATAATCGAGAGACTTACACTACATTTTAAAAGACGATGTATAAAAATAAATTTAACAACAGGACTAGATTCGTTGGCGGCCTACTTGAACCTTGGGCTACCAAATGTATGCATTGAACATTTTTCATCAAATTCTTTCCTTTCAATTTGTTTTAGTCGTTTGAATATTTCTATTGAACGTATCATATACTCTGGCACATTTTTAAACTGTTTTCAACTCTCCATCTCTCGAGTCAATAACAAAGCAGAGAAAAAAATGTTACGTTATATGTAAATGGACTTTTCGGTGCGCAAAATTATATCATATTTCTATCCATCAGATGCTTAGCTTGATTCGCAAATTTTTGTATCATTTGAATGAACCACCACCAAAATTACACTTGCATTTCTATTGATTCTTCATTATAAACCGGATACCCATTCAAAACTAGCTGGCTATTTCACATTATTGTCTTGAATACTGTTATTATTGACATCATTCAAATGGAATAACCATTATGTCTGACAGTATTGTTCTACGAGTGAATTTATTGAAAAATTACATGCTCAGAATTCCATATAGTCATACATATTGTTTGGAATAAAACGATTATCATTATTATTAAAAAAGTCTTTTGGTAATGTTTTAGGCTTTCCTCAGTTACGTTTAATGAACATACAGTAATGGCTTGGTTGCATGATTATTGTAAGCACACTGATATATCACGCTATACATGCTGGTAACCAAAAGAAGCTTAGCTTTAAATGCAAATAAGACAATCTATACACACATAATAATGTGAATTCTATTATTATATGAACCATCCACAGTATAAATAAGAATTCTCCCTCTCCCCCCCCCCAAAAAAAATGCATTAAAGTAGAAATAAGTGTATCTTATCTAATAGAACATGATATGAATTGCTGAACAACTATCAGATATCATATCTAAATGGAGGGAAATGTCTGAAACATAACACTGTTTAAGTTAAATATATTGTAGTATACACTGATGTTAACTTTCCTGTTTTATCAAGATAAGAAATCATCTTATGATATTTAACTTATGAATAATAGATGAATATGTCTAGCGACTTTTCATTTTATAGATGTCAACCATATCAGATTAATGATGTATTTTCGCTAGCAATGGAATCCAGGATGCGCATTTCGTCTTATTTGAGAGTCACTGGTCAGGTGGATGTACCTGCCACCCAATGAGTAATGCTGTTCCCACTGTGACCCGGACTCGGGAGCAATCGCTTCAAACGCCAGAGCGTCATCCACTACACCATTGAGCCATGAAAGTCACTTCCGGTGAGACGGGTATATTATTATTATTGTTTGTCCTCTGGGTTCCTAATGGAACATACTCCTTCAGTAGCACGTCTCCATTCCACCCTGTTCTCTGCAAACCCTTGAACATGGCTCCACGACAGCCCACAAGCTCTCATTTCCTCCTCGCACGATCTCCTCTATATCACCCTCGGACGCTCAACTCGTCACTTCCCATCGACGTTCCACTCGAGTAACTGGCTTGGCGCGTGATGTCCCCAATCGGCCTTCTCAGTGTATGCCCAATCCAATCCATCTCCACTTCCTTCCAGTGCATATTTGTTGAGTGATAGCTTCTTGGTTGGTTCGTCACTTGGCCAGAGTTCCTTGTTGCTTATTCTCATTATTCTGGTCATCTGATCTTCAGTCTGGAGTCAGCGTAGGTGGCAGTTGTTGATGAATGTCTGTAGTTTGTTGGAAATGCCTTTCGTAACACGCCAAGTTTCTGAACCATGCAGAAGCACTGACTTGACGTTGGTGTTGAAAATCAGGATGTTGTTCACGCTTTATGCTGAGTGCAGTGCAGTAGATCTCCACACTGGTTTCAGGCGAATGAAGACCTGTCTTGCTTTTCGGATGCTGGCTTTGACGTCCTCATCTGTGCCACCTGTACTTGAAACGATGCTGCTTAGGTAGATAGGTAGGTGAAAGAGACAACTTCCTTTACGTTTTTCCCGTTGATGGTGATTGGGACTTGTTGTTGTTGTTGGGTATCTTCATCACCTCTGTTTTCTCTATGTTCACTTGAAGTCCCGTTTTCACTGGCCTGCCTCTTCTGTCAACTTGTTAGTTTTCGCCTGTAGATCTTCAAGTTTGTGTGACATTAGACACAAGTCATCACTGGCGAAATCCAAATCTTCTAGGTTCTTTACCCCGGTTTAGCGTATCCCCCTCTTCTCACAGCTTCTCACTGTTTGTTGCATGATCCAATCCGCCACAATCAGGAAGATCATCGGTGATAGTAGACAGCCTTGTTTTACTCCTGTCTTCACTCCACTTCAAAGGCGTCATTGAGCTTCCCATTGTGAATTGCTTGGCATGTGGCGTCTTCATAAAGTTGTTGAATGAGATTGATAATGGTTTGTGGTATTCCATAGTGTTGAAGCGGTAGCTTCGAAATTATTTCTCGGTCGACACTGTCGAAGGCCTTTCAAAGTAGATGAAGTTGAGGCAAGGTGGAGTGTTGACTAGTGTATGAATTAGTTGACGGATACTTATGTTGTATTAGCATCTGTAGATGTATCGCGACTCTCTGGATGAGGTTTGATAGATTCTGCAACTCAGTAGTTCGAACAAATAGCAAACACATTTGAGAACCGAAGCCAGTGGTAAGTATGATGCAGTTTTCTGGTTACTTCTACGATTAAAAAGTAAAGTAAAACAGTGGATGCTTATTTTAGATATATCGTTGAAACCGCTTCTCTAATAACCCATTCTGTCCTCGTTTCCATTTTCTGTATCTTCAATAATATTGTTCTACTGTTTTGTATGATATATCTTTTGGTTGACATAATGTATATCAGTTTTGTGTTCCAAGGAATAAATAAAATTAATGTTGAAAACTACTTTCAAAGTGTAATTTATTAACCAACAATCTCATTTTGGTCTATGTTGTAAGTACTTTGGAAAACATCTTATCCATCAACTTTTGACTATTCTATCAACAATCTCCACTTTATTTTTCCCACAGATATATGAAAGTCACACAACTTATCCACAAAAACGTTTTTCGTCTCTATACAATAAATACATTTAGGTTGTGTTTTTTTTAAAAGTGATACAACCAATAACACTAAAACTATACCCGTCGCCTAAGTCTGGCGCGGGATCACGCTCCTATCCACCCCAAGCAAAATATTCAGCCGTGTCATCGTGGAGAGACTAAAGGATGCGCTGGATTCAAAACTACGACCGAAACAGGCTGGCTTCAGGAAGTAAAAATCATGTGCGGACCAAATTGCAACGCTTCACATCATCATAGAACAGAGTGTAGAATGGCAGTCAACACTCCACCTTGCCTCAACTTCATCTACTTTGAAAGGCCTTCGACAGTGTCGACCGAAAAATAATTTCGAAGCTACCGCTTCAACACTATGGAATACCACAAACCATTATCAATCTCATTCAACAACTTTATGAAGACGCCACATGCCAAGCAATTCACAATGGGAAGCTCAATGACGCCTTTGAAGTGGAGTGAAGACAGGAGTAAAACAAGGCTGTCTACTATCACCGATGATCTTCCTGATTGTGGCGGATTGGATCATGCAACAAACAGTGAGAAGCTGTGAGAAGAGGGGGATACGCTAAACCGGGGTAAAGAACCTAGAAGATTTGGATTTCGCCAGTGATGACTTGTGTCTAATGTCACACAAACTTGAAGATCTACAGGCGAAAACTAACAAGTTGACAGAAGAGGCAGGCCAGTGAAAACGGGACTTCAAGTGAACATAGAGAAAACAGAGGTGATGAAGATACCCAACAACAACAACAAGTCCCAATCACCATCAACGGGAAAAACGTAAAGGAAGTTGTCTCTTTCACCTACCTATCTACCTAAGCAGCATCGTTTCAAGTACAGGTGGCACAGATGAGGACGTCAAAGCCAGCATCCGAAAAGCAAGACAGGTCTTCATTCGCCTGAAACCAGTGTGGAGATCTACTGCACTGCACTCAGCATAAAGCGTGAACAACATCCTGATTTTCAACACCAACGTCAAGTCAGTGCTTCTGCATGGTTCAGAAACTTGGCGTGTTACGAAAGGCATTTCCAACAAACTACAGACATTCATCAACAACTGCCACCTACGCTGACTCCAGACTGAAGATCAGATGACCAGAATAATGAGAATAAGCAACAAGGAACTCTGGCCAAGTGACGAACCAACCAAGAAGCTATCACTCAACAAATATGCACTGGAAGGAAGTGGAGATGGATTGGATTGGGCATACACTGAGAAGGCCGATTGGGGACATCACGCGCCAAGCCAGTTACTCGAGTGGAACGTCGATGGGAAGTGACGAGTTGAGCGTCCGAGGGTGATATAGAGGAGATCGTGCGAGGAGGAAATGAGAGCTTGTGGGCTGTCGTGGAGCCATGTTCAAGGGTTTGCAGAGAACAGGGTGGAATGGAGACGTGCTACTGAAGGAGTATGTTCCATTAGGAACCCAGGGGACAAATAATAATAATACCCGCAATAAAAATTACCTTACCTGTTTAATGTATGAATATTTCGAGCACTAAGATTTATCACTGGTTAACAAAAAGAGAAGGGGGGTGAGCTTCTGATCAGATATCCAATAAGCACTTTTTTCTACTGTATTTCGAATTAATATTTATTTAACAAACTATCGACAACAGAAATGATAATTTATAATTCAATTTCAGCATGAGAAGTCTAGATTGAAGATTAGAATTAAATATATTATATAATTTATTAAAAAGCAATGACTTACTTTGGACCATACATGTGGTTTAATCTGTGGGAACTTGAATTCTCGATAGTCAGGGTTCATTTCATGGATTTGTTCACGTGAGGGAGTGCCTAGAACTTTAATAATCTCTACCAGTTGATCTACACCACTTTCTCCAGGAAAAATAGGTTGACCGAGTAAAAGTTCAGCAAGTACACATCCAGCTGACCAGATATCTTTATGTATAAACCAATATATTGCAGTGGAAAAATGGACAAACTTTTTTAGTTCTGAACTACCATCATGAATTAAACATTATTATTATTATTATTATAAAGAAACAATTCCAAAAGATTAAGAGAATATATATATCTCTGCATATGTTGTTTGAAAGATCATTTAGTGATGCTTGTAATTTCTTGCTATAATTAGATTGAACTGACCGGCCTCTGTTGGCATATGGTCTCTAATCCGGATGCCTCGATACTACGTTGTAACCTATTTGGTTGTGGCTAGTAGTGAAATCCAGGACCCTGGTTTCGACTGGTATGGAACTCGTCAGCTGGATGTACCTGCACTGTACACAAGTGAGTGGTGGCGTTCTCACTGAGACTTAAACCACACACCTAACGCTTCAAACGCAAAAACGTTACCCGCTAGATCACTGAGGTATCAAAGCCACCTCTTCTGTTATTTGTTGACACACTTGTATTCGCCGTTGTTATACTAGATAGGACTGATCGACGTCTGTTGCTAGATGGGTTCCTATACGGACCCCTCAATACAGTATGAAAGTTCACGAAACGTACGTCCTGGATTCCACCACGAAGCGAACTGCAGTATAATGAAAAATCAGACAGTGTCGAGGTATTCGCACAAGAGACCACATGCCAACAGAGGTCATTCAATTTGATTCAGTAAAACTGAATGACTGACTGACAAAATCAACGTAGAACCTGGCACACAAGTTCATCACCTCCAGTTGCCATACTTCATAGAGGTACACAAAGAACAGGCGGGTAGAAAAAGAATGATATCAGAGTAGATAAAGTAGTGTGACAGAAAAAAAATTGAAGATAAACGTTAATGTGAATATTCAAGCTTTAGAAGATGTCAAAAGGTTAACACTTCTGTACTATTGTGACTTATTTTCAAGTATGTCACAAAGTGTCCTCAATCAGTGATTCTTTTCGTCTCGGGGCATTCAACCAAGCAGTGTACATCTCATCACACGGCTCAGACCAACGGTCAGAGACTTCGTCGACTAGTGCCACGTGTTTGTCTGGTCACCCTCAACTCTTTTCCATCCCACTCCAACTTCCCCTAGCCATGATACCTCAAGGTAGGCGGCGGTGGTTCGGCATGAGCAGTATGTGTCTAAATCATCAAAGTCGACTAAGAATGACAATCGCGTCAATCGAATTTCCTGTCTTACCCAGTACCCGTCACCTGGTGTCAACAGAGATCATACGATGATTCCACCAAACACGACTAATGCTAAGATGACATTTGTGATCAAAACCCAGTATTCGCATCATGTCTTCTATTTTTAGCGGCCATGCCTAACAACCGTACAACGGGACTGAACGGGCTGTAGAGCAGTATACTCATCCTTTGGTAGATAGTCGGATATCTCGGCCCCACAGGTGACACAAGTTGACAAATGCTAAACGGGCCCCTTGTATCCAAGGTGAGATTTCGTCGACAACCAGGTCGTTTATGTCGATGAAGTACTCGACACATTCCACCACGTCACTCATTATTATTAAACTGAAATGCTTGCAGCAGATTAGTCCAGTAAAACAACAGGAAAATACAAGTATCACTAAACAGTAACTAAGAGACATTGCACAAGAGGTAGCTCTCGTGCCTTAGTGGATAACGCTCATTGGCAACACCATCAGTCACTGGTGTGAGATGCAGATACATCCAGCTAGTGAGTCCAAAACAGGTCGAGACACGCACCCCGGATTCCACAACTAGCTACCATCAAGCAAATCGCAACATAGTTTAAAAGGCGTAAAACTGTTCTAAATGCAACCTTATTATAAATCCTTCCTTGCAGTTAGTAGCGAAATATCCTTCTCTAAACATCAAATTCATCTGAGGCAAAGAAGTTATATCTAAACTATACATTAATCAGTGAACTGTCTATCAAACACAAAGTATATAAATGTAAGACTATTTGAGATCCAAGTTATTGGCTGTGGAACATGGTCATTAAACGGGAAGAGTATGGTATCTAACCACCATTGCCTTCATATAATCCTTCTCATATGACGGAGTCAGTGTGGGAGAGTACACCAGTTACATTAGCACTAATTCGATGAAATAAATCAATTGATGAGGTAACATATTTTTCCTCAAGTGATATATATCGCACTACTATCCTCAATGCATTACGTTAGCTAAAGAATTACTGGAAAAGCCTCAGCATGGTTAAGTCTATAACTTGTTTTAAGATATGTAGAGAAGTACATGCTCCTCGGTTGAAGCCCCACAGGATAACCAAATTGATGGTTACAGACTGTAAATAATATGACAGAGAATAAATCACACTTGAATACTTTATCTTAACCTGATTCTTGAAAATCCTATTATTACACTTTACTACCTTTATCACCTTGACATATATAGCTTTAAAGCTACTGTGAATATTATTATTCGGTTTCATTTCCATCACTTTTGCTGATTTCCACAGCACTACCACCTCAGCAATGCTTATACAAGTCATAATATAGTTGATTGATTTAAAACCTTGCCGTCTCATCCTATAATTTCCATGTCTATCTGTGTATATATTTCAAACGTCTATAAATGTACTCATCATTCATATACATAAAGTGACTTGCATTTGACGAATGAAAACACAACTCATTCAAAAAACAACAACAATTCAAAGAATGAGTACAACTTTATAGTTGTGTGAGAGTCACTAAAAATATGAATAGGAACAAAAATACTAATAAACGCAAATGTTCAAAGTATAATAAACAACTTTATTGAAGGTATTTCTAGTAATTGGCTGGTAATAATCGAAGAATAATTGATTAGACATATAGGAGTAAAACTTGGGCACTGTGCTTAGATTGTAACTTCATTTTAGTCTATTTATTAGAAATGTCATACAATGAAGGGACAGTATCATTTACTGGATAGCGATGTTTCGGACACAATTTATTATCCACATTTATATCAGATAGGTAACTTCACAACTCTGAGACATGATTTATATGGTTCTAAGCCTCTCTCGTTCTTTGTGATGACAAAGGTAGCAGAATTTCCCACAAATCTGGAACAGGTGCAAAATCATTTCAATTCCATGCATTCGGCGCGTATACTATTATGAATAAGGTTGAGAGATCCACAGGATATCTGATATGCCAAATGAAGCCGTTTCTAGGGGAATGAATATGGTTTAATTTAATGCCCAAAAACTAATAATCTCAGTAGAATGTATAGTATCATTAAAATTCATAAGCCAGATAATCCTATCAGGTCAATAGTAGGTTTTAGAAACACTCCAACTTCCGAGTTGTCTAAATATTTAGCAATGCTGCTAGGCCAAATAGGGAATCACTCATAAACCCTATTTACTAACTCTTATGACTTAAAGTACAGATTAGATTATATACGAGTCGATAACAGTGAAAAATTGGTTAGTTATATGAATTCACTGTTTAGCATGGCTCTTCTGGAGGCAGTTAGAAATGGGCTTATAGATGACAGTGGGTTTATGCATCGAAATAAGGTGCTAACCAATAAAAATATACTGGGATTACGACAATCTATAACGTTTACAGCTTTTAGGTTTCAAATAAAATACACAGACAAACTGAAGGGGTTATCATGGATCAATAATATCCCTTGTCTTCGTAGACACATCTATGGATAGTGAGGAACGGATGGTCCTTCAAACATTTAATCCTACTCCAAAGATATAGTTTCTATATATATAGAGGATACGTTAACACTACTGAAATCGGAACATATCAATAGGTTTGTGGAACATATAAATTCAGTGGAGAATTCAATCCAATTTACCTATGACTTAGAAAGTGATGAAGGTGAGCTACCACTGTCGGATTGAAAGATTAAACGAAAATAAGATGGTGTCTATAGTGTCTATAGGAAACCTTTCCACTCAAATGGCTACTTAGACTTCAAATCCTCTTACCCCATCTCAGTTGAAGTAGACTTAGTCAACTGCCTAAGTAATAAAGCAAACAATCTTACTAGTAGGTCAGAAAATCTACGACAAGAAATTAGACACATTAGGAATACTTTGTGTCTTAATAATTACCCACTAAAATTTATCAATTAATTCATAAATCGAAAGAAAAATATGAGCAGTAGTAGTAGTTGTAACAGGCGTTATTAATAATAGTAATAATGGTGACAGGGTTGAGAAAGAATTTAAATCTTCTACCGTGTTACCACACAAGAAAGGTACCTCTGAAGCATTACGAAGAATTCTCAATAAGGCTTAGATTAAAGTGGCATTTAAACCAACAAACTGACTTAGAAACAAGCTTTGTAAGTTAAAAGATCCTATCGATTCAATAAAGCAGAATAATTTGGTGTACTAAACTTACTGCAATGATTCCGAGGTCATATATATAGGTCGAAATAGTCAACTAGGGTCAATTAGAATATAACAGAGCACAAAAACTTAACTAAATCAACATTAGAAAATATCTCGGTCATAGCTCTGCACGCAATTACACATAATCACACAATGGGGTGAGATAGAGCGACAGTGTTAAAAACTGACGTAGTTGGGTGGATGGAGAGATTGATAACCGAATCTTTGTTTATCGAATCAACACCAAATACATGTAACAGAAATGATTCTGCACCTGTTCCAGATTTGTGGGAAATTCTGCTACCTTTGTCATCACAAAGAACGAGAGAGGCTTAGAACCATATAAATCATGTCTCAGAGTTGTGAAGTTACCTACCTGATATAAATGTGGATAATAAATTGTGTCCGAAACATCGCTATTCAGTAAATGATACTGTCCCTTCATTGTATGACATTTCTAATCAACAGACTAAAGTGGAATTGAACAGACAAATTTACACCTGAACAAACTGATGATTAAGTGGATGAAGGAAATCGGCAGGAGACCCTGCGGCATCTAGGTTTTATGCTTTTTGGTATTCATCAGCAAGGCGTATCTGCAACCTCGACAGTAACGATGTCCTGCCTGAGACTCCAACCAGCGTCGGAGACGTTATCACTGACCTATTTCGGTGGGGCGGTGGGGAAGCGTTGACCTCCATCTGGGCTGCATTATGTACACTGACTGGTTACCGAAGGATAACCAAGTTCATGTTGTCTAGTCTTATATGCTGATCGAATTCCATCGATCATTTTGAAGTGTGATTATCTTTTCCTATCGACAACCAAAAGCTTACCTATCTGACAAGTGTAGTCCACGGCACCAAATATTAGCTCAGGAGCTCGATAATAACGAGAACATATGTAGGAAACATTGGGTTCACCACGAACTAGAACCTTTGCACTGTGGAAAGTTTTTTTTTGAGAAAAAAAATAGAATAAAACTTAATTCAGTGGGTGAAGTAAGAAGAAAATGATGAGTAAATAAAAAAGAGTCCAATCATAATATATGCATTGCACAAATTGTAAAAAGAAAATGTCTGTTATAACAACACATATCTGATGCAAAAAGGCTAGTAGATGAATAAACATCAACTCAGTCAAATAATTAAGTACACGGATATTGTATTAACATAAGCATGACGGATTGAAAATGAAGACAAAGTCAACTATTTTACTTATTACATTACAACGACAATCTACAACTGAATAAAAACTTAATAACAAGACTTGACAAAGATATTGACTACATTTGTCGGAGGTTTTTTTTTCATAAAAGCTCAGTAAAAACGAAAGTCAATTCCCAACTTTCTAGACACAAAGTATAAAATCAGTGTCAGATATCACACTTTGCATAACAACAATGACTATAAATAGCAAATCTGCTCTAATTTACAGGGTAAATAATTCGCCTTTCTTGAGAACTCAGCTTTTTGTATTTAAGGATAGTGTAACCTTTCATTTCAATGATAAGAAAATATTCTCAAAAATCTTGAGGTGAATAGGGATTTTAATTTTGAGGTAGCATTCATCAGAAACTGAAATCAGTTGGCGATCCATTGAAAACCTGAGAGCACTGAACATCTGTTTCGTCCTAGAAGAGGATCCCTCCGCAGTATGCACCCACGACACCGTCCAACCAGGGATCGAACTCAGAACCTTCAGCTTACACGACCGACGCGTTAACCATTCAGTCAATGGGTCGAAGTCCAATGGTTCACAATTTCCAACTTCTGTCAATTCACGATATACCGCAACTATCACCTAAGGTCTTCAGCTGACATCCGTTTCCTTTCCAATTGATAGACCCCCAATTCACGGCTTCTCATGAGAACTTCACGATATTCATCTGGAAGTATGTTACTAATGAGCACTATACAGTAATATATTTTGAGGTGAATGAGAAATTTAATTTAGAGGTAGTATTCATCACGGACTGATATCAAATTTATATATGAGGCAGTTCTAATGAAATCAATGACAGTGTATAGCTATTATTGAAATATTTACTCAGGATTAAGATTTTCCAAGATCTTTGAGATCTTTGCAGTTTCATAGTTGAATTCTGATGAGATCAAAATGATTATCAGGATCTCCATAGTGAATAAGACATTAAACTGATGCCAAGATAACAATATATCCTCGACCATACCAAGGTAATCAATTGTATATGCTACTCACTTTACATCAACACATATCGCTGGGTCCCTTTCGAATTATGTATATTAAAGATTTATCATAAACACGTTGTCGATGATCGGTCAGTTGTTTGTAATAGAATATATTTGCTATTCAAAATTATGTATCAGAGGACGGTTGAATGGACTCATCAAAAAGTTCATAGTGAAATTCGATATATGGGAAATTATGTAGAGAAATATAAAACATCCATGTTATCCATCTAACATATAAATAAATATGTACGAACATAATTCTTTGACATAAAACTTATGAACTAACCTCCCAAAATCGCATAATTTTAAAACGGCTGTAGTTGGATTTAAAAGTAAATTCTGTGGTTTAATATCTCGATGACAAATACCCTTATGATGTATATAAGCCAAACTGCGAAATAGTTGGTACATATAAAGCTAGAAAGAAAAAATAAAGTTTCTAAATACATTTTAATGAAAATTATTTCAATTATTAAGTATTATAGCTTATTTTTATCACTAGTCAACTTTGTGAAGTAAAATACAAAAATTCTATTACAGGCCTAAATGACATCGTTTTTTTTAGGCTACGAGGTCTTCGTAGCTCAGTTGATACAGGATCAGGCCAGAAACCAGGTGGTCGCTGGTTCGAATCTATAAAAAAGTACTCTCAGTATTTTTGAAAAAATCTCCGAGTCAAAACAGTATGGACGACATAAATGATGAATAGTGGCTAGTAGTGGAACTCAAGGACGTACGTTTCATCCTATTTGGGACTCACTAGTCAGCTGGATGTACTTACCTCCCAGAGAGCAATGTTGTTCCCACCAGGACTCGAACTCGTGACCGATCGTTTAAGACACCAGAGCGTTATCCACTAGACCACCGAGTCACGGAAAACAACAGTGTGGACAGTAACTTTAGCACGATAGTATGAACCAATTCTATCTCAGCATTTCTCATCAGTTGCTCACAACTTACGACTATTTTAACTTCAAAGTATGTAAGGAATGTTTACATACTTGAATGATCCCATTAGACAATAAATAAAACACAATTCACCGAAGAAAATTTTCTTTCCGATGGACCGTTTTCAAAAGCTGTACAGTCGTAATCTTAGTTACGGCAAACTACATATATCCATCAATGGTTAATGGCTCAATACAAGGTCGTCAAAAACGGCCAGTAGTCACAATTCGATAACGACTGGAAGGTCAAATCAAGGACATCAAAGATCGCTTATAGAATTGTAGTAAATAAACAAAGAAATGAATAAACTGTCCTATGCAGATCACGAACCACGCCTAGGTAACTAGTTCACTAGTTACTAGCCAGTCCCTAAGCAGGGATAAAGAGGGAAGGTTGGGCATACGGCTACGAACCCTACCTCGGAAAACCAATCTAACCGCTAGAGAAACTTCAAGGCACAAGGAAAATATAAAACATAAAATTAAACTTGTTCCTCACTGGAATCGGAGAGGTGAAATGACGCCAGTTGGTGAAAGCCTTTGGGAAGCCAATCGGCCGACGTGTCTTCTCTTCTCTCGATGAAAGCGAAAGTAAACATAAGGATATGGAATGTCCGAACAATGTTGGCAAGGCTGACCAGATTGCAAAAGGGATGAGAAGGTAGAGTATAAAAGTGCTACGAATCTCCGAAAGCAGATGGAATGGAAGTGGACTCTTCAGACTGTCAACTAGAGAACCAATAATCTACTTCGATATTGTCAACCAGACGACAACCACGAGCACACGGAGGAAGTCACTATCATGATGTCCCCAACAGCATCAAAGGCTCTCGAGCAGTGGGAACCAATTTCCTTCAAGATCAGGATCATGACAGCAAGATTCAACTCAAAAGGAAGGAAACTCACAAGCATTCAGTGCTACGCTACGCACTTACAGATAATGCAGATGAAGAGAAGAAGGAGGAATTCTACAGACAACTGCAATCAGCATTGGACAAGACCTCACCACAGATCGCGACATCAAAATTTTAATGGGTGGGGTGACATGAATGCCAAACTAGGAGCGGACAACACAGGAAGAGAACCAATCATGGATCGAGAAGCACTCGGTGAAATGGACGAGAATGGAGAACTCTTTGCAGATTTCTGCGCATTTAGTGACTTGGTGATTGGAGGCAGTGTCTACAAGCACAAGGATATCCACAAGGCGACATGGATTTCACTAGATGGACACACTGAAAATCAGATGGACTTCATCTTAATTTGAGAAAAGTAGAGACGCAGCCTACTGCACACAAGATCAAGAAGAGGAGCAGATGTAGGTTCACACCACTCACTGTCTAGTAGGAGGAACCTTCAAAATCAAGTTGAAAGCCTTCAAAAAAGCTGGTGATAGATCACAGTTCAAGTTCAACACCCAGAAAAGAAACTGGACTTAAGGACGAAACTACAAAGGATATCTCCATGTCAACCATCAGTTTATTCATTTGTGTTTATTTACTATAATTCTATAAGCAATTTTTGACGACCTTGAATTGACCATCTAGCTGTTGAATTTGGAGGCTTTTGAGGATTCAGTGGGTTTTTTTTTCTGACGTCAGTTGGAAACTCACGAACACTGAGGAGCTGTTTCGTCCTAGTATGGGACTCTTCAGCAGTGCACACCCACCATCCCGCACAGCCAGGGGTCAAACCCAGAACCTCTAGGTTCTGAGGTCAGCACGTTACTATTGAGCTGCTGCGTCGGAGACCAATGGTCCATACTTCCTACTTCTGTCAGCTGATGACATAGCGCGACCAATACCCAATGTTATCGTTGAGTATTCGACCTTACGTTCACCAAACTAGCCTCAGCGATCACGACTTTTCCTTGCAACTTTAGGAATCACCTCTCGAAGCTAGTCATCAATGAGGACTAGATCAGTTGAATATTTGGGTTTGTGGGGATTTAGTGATTTTTTTAAAGTTGGTATTCATTATGGACTGACATCAGTTGGAGGAACATTGGAAAGCTGGGAGTACTGGACAGCTGCTTCGTCCTACTGTGAGACTGCTCAGCAGTGAACACTCATGACCCTGCTAGCCGTTATCGTCTTGCGACTTTGCTGACCGTTTTTGATGACGTATCGACTCATTAGCCATTTGATGGTTATATACAGTTTGTTGTAACTATTATTACGACTGCACAGCTTTTGTAAATGATTCGTTGAAAGCAAGTTTTCATCGCTGAACTGTCTTTTATTAATTTTCAGACTTGAATGGGTCTAAAAGGAAATTATCGACCTTGACGAAACGACAATACTGATGTTACTTATTTGAAGCTATCATAATTAAGTGAACAGATATGCAAGAACTGTTAATAAGTTTGTCTGTAATCAGATAGATTCATTGAAGTATTGTACAGTGGGAGTTGGAGAACAAAGGGAGACAAATGTATTCTACATACCTGATATATTCCAAGGAATTTGCCAGTGAGAGGTGTGAGTCCTTGACAGTGAAATCGCTAGTCACCTTATTCATAATCAACATGAAGCTGATATGTAGTAATTGTTCAAAATAATTAATAAATAAATGAAATCGAATGAGTTGTATTTCGTTGAAATGACAAAAACCAAGCCTATGTTTTCAGAAAGCAACAGTTGTCAGTTTATCCGTATCATAGGAAATTTTGTTTTGAACAATTAAGCCTTTCATGTAACACTATGAGCTCTATACACTTTTTATTGTTTGTATTACTCAACATCCATGACTTTATTGTCTGAATACTAATCATCTTGTTTACTCAGCCAGTATAAATCTTCAATAGAATATTTCTCAGTGTATAGAATACATTTTTTCTCCGTTTGTTCTCCAACTTCCACTGTACAATATTCAATGAATCTATCTGATTACAGACAAACTTATTAACAGTTCTTGTATATCTGTTCACTCAATTATGATGACTTCAAATAAGTAACATCAGTAGTGTCGTTTCGTCAAGGTCGATAATTTTCTTTTGAACTCCTTCAAGTACGTAAACAGTTGATGATGATGATGATAAATGCATATTATCCTGTTAAAACCGTTGTTATCTCTCCACTCAAATGTATTGAGATAAGGAATTGTATTTTTTTTTAAAGTAAACATATGTCGTGCATTAATGTTCATCACATTATATACACCCACTAATTGACCTGTAATGTATTAATATATAGAAAAAAAACGCTACATGTGACAAATAAAGAGCTATAAACGACATTTATGGGAAATCAGGCTTACAATTTGACCTAAACATGGATCTATAATCCATCATTACAAAGGTAATGGATATGAAGTGGATTCAAGGTCTCACTTACATAGCAGCAAGGATAATTGTATCACCAAGTTGGATGTTTTCCTTAGTCTTATAACAAAACGATGAAATATTACAAATAAGCGTGAACTGTTGAACTTAAATCAAACAAATGAAATACATGGGACCTTTTTTCATTTATCTTACCATTTTTTGTAAAAGTGAATTGATTAGAAAACAACGAAATGTTGGAAGCTCAACAAGGAAACAAGTGATAATACTTTAAATCATAGAAAATACGGTCTTATACGCAGAAGAGATTGATGAAATACGAAATCTTCTACATAGATCGATATCCTTTTACAAGTTGTCAATGTAAGATGCTGGTACAACATTGGTCAATATTGACTCCCTACCTTAAAAAAATAGACGGTAGCATCTCTGAGTCCATTAATAACCTCACTTATCTATGAAACTGAATGAATTCTTGTAGATTGGTAGTCAGTAATCGATAAATAGATATCTCTTATGGGTCATGTATACTGTGGCACAGTAACAGTATGATGTTCACCTATGCAACTTTTAGACAATGTAGTTGATAGAAGAAATAAAGAGACTACATATATTTGACGATTGATTTATTTGAAGCATTCTTCACATTTTGTAACCACCAATGAGATTATAAGTCTACATCAACCAAGATGGTTGGGAGATGTACTATCTATGTGTAGTCACCATCTTGACCTGTTCCAGTCGCAAATGGAATATGAGGGAAGAAACCATCCTTTCTTGCAGTTAACCTCAGCTATCTGGAGGTTCATAGGAAAGACAAAATCGATGGTTGCATTCTTCATATGATAATAACTCGAAACTGTTTATAGTGTAGTGTAGTAGATGTATTCAACCTTTATAATACTGTTAATTAATGGATATTTTAAAATACACCTTAGTGAAGTTGACAATACTGCATCTCTACTGGATTTGAAATGTACAACATAGCTAGTTGTCATATTCATGATACAAAATTCACTAATGTGTAAGACGATCGATGCAGTTGGTTGGAGACTAAGTGATATTGCTCAGAACCAATATCAGTGCCACAGATGCAAACAAACACATTATACTAATCATACTCTCATCATCTTTTCATTCTTGCTTCTCTTTTACTACGTTCTACTTCTATTTCCTCTGACCGATTT